CACCAGAACGGGTATGGCGTCGCTGGGTTTGCGCTCAGCGAATTCGTACAACGACTTGGTGGACGTGTATAGTGGCTCATTCTGTCGGATGTGTTACACGTACGCTTGCCACGAGCATGGTGGTGACCATCCACTGCCAGTCAGGCGAGTCGATCCTGTGTACCCTCGAGTTCGATTGTCATCGGACGATAACGTGGTTTGTGTTGGCAACGAGGTAACCAGTGGTCGTGATGACTTAAACCGTAAGGTAGCTGTGTCAAACGTGAGCAAAAAGCACCAGATCGGCGTGGCAAGTGATGCGGACATGAGCGTCGGAGACACTAAGCCTTATTAGCGACAACGCCAGCCCAAGGCGATGGCTGACCCGTCAGAGTATGTCGATGCGTCGCACATCTCGCTAACGGCAGCAGAGATGCACTCGTTTCTCTCTGCGGGTAGCGCATGCAGCAAACTGTGCTGGGAGAATGATGACCCCGTCAATGTGAACTCCAATCGTACAATGTTGCCAGCAGCAGCAGAGCTGGGTGTAGTTCGAAAGCTCCGAGAAATGATGGGTGACAACTCGTGTTTACTGTCAGCTATCGTCGGCTCGGCCTTGTGCAGTGACGCACATGAGTTGATCAAACAAGACTCCGGCCGTCGTGTGCGCAATTGGAACCAAGGACGTAGGTCAGGTGGAAAGAATCACGAGCTACTGCAGCGGACACGTAACCAGCGGCTCCAGGACCGGGGCACAGAGAACCACGAGTACGAGCCATGCATGCATGAGGGCATGTGCGACTCGACAGGCTGCTCGTGCATGAAGCGTGATCGCATGTGCGAGAAGGCGTGCTCCTGCTCTCGCGAGTGTCCTAATAGGTGCGTAGAGACAAAAAAAAAAAACACCTTCGTTGACGACGAACAATCTTATTATGGGAATTTGTGTCTTGGCAGGTCTGAAGGTTGCAATTGCTCGCCTGTAGATGTGCGATCTCGATGTGTGGCAATGTCAACGTCATCCGTAGCAAGCACAAACGACTAGGTATGAGTTTCTCCCCGATCCACGGATACGGAATGTTCGCGCGAGAGACGATCTCGGCAACCGAATTTGTGTACCAAATTCGGCCTGTTCTGTCGCAGAACGATGCGGAGCGCCACGGACTGATTTATAACAAGATGGAAATGAGTTATTTGTTTGATCTGAATGCAGACGCCGTGCTGGACGCGCTACGCAGCGGCAACAAGAACAAGTTCATCAACCACGAGGGTGATTCACCGAACGAAGGTGATGAGCGTGTGTGGTGTGCACCACATCACCATGTGGGCGTTGCAGGATATCGCTGTTGGTGAGGAGCTGGTTTTCGACTACGGCTACAAGCGAAGTGTCGGTCCAGATTGGAGTCAAAGCCGAGCGGCATCGAACAGTTCCGGATAACGAAAGAACTGGGAGTCGATGCGAACGATGCTTGGTGGTCGATGTGAGTAGATGAATGGAAATTTCAATATATGCTGTGTCAGCGAATCACGAAGATGTCATTGAGCAACAACTACCAGATTCTTTGATTTTTCTGTGATTGGTGGATCATCTACATAAGTTGCGTTGCAAGAAGTTAAAATAAAAACAATAACATGGTCGATTCCTTTTTTTCTGATGTAAATTCAAACTATGCTCTGAACAAACGTCGGTCGTCTAAGCCGCCAACACTACTACCAAAACTGCATGCCGACAGTTATCGCCCTATTACGTGATTGTCAC